CAGACTATTAAGAAATTTTAAGAAAGGCTAAATGACTAAAAATCTGATCTATGATTTACATTTCAACCAACAAACACGTAAGAGAAAATGTAGGCTTTTTTTTATAATATCTTCTTAGTAGTACATAAAATATTAATTAATTGAAGGTAATAAATGTAGCTGAAAAACATGTACAAACTTACTTATTAAACGCATCAGTATATAATTGGTACAATAAAAATCTTATACTAAAATTGTTAGCCAGCGATTTGCATCCTCCATTTCGCAACCGATACCAGATATGGATAGTTCTGTTTGTCAAGCAAAAAGTGCTCTAAATTTGTTAATTAATTTTTTTTGTTTTTTAATTAATTAATTTGACACCCTTCAACAAATTCGATAATGAGATTAAATTGTAGACACCATTTAAATTTTTTCAAAGGACCATCGATAGGTTAAAGAGCTGATAATCATGTCCACATTGGTCAAGTTTGATCAATACAAAATTTCTGTAAGAACGATGAGGGACATTAAAGTTTATTTTTTCTTACAAGGCTATGCTATACTATAAGAACACACAATAAACGTATATTCCAATGTTGGGTTCACCACACTTATGTATATTTATACACTTTTTGTAACATAAAGATCATCAAATTCCCTGGACCATCTCTTAATAAAACCAAGAGCAGTTTTTGCTTTATTCATGGCAAGCTCAATATGTCAACTGAAATGGACTCTTTAGTCAGATACTACCCAAAGTCGAAGAATGCCTCTACACTTTGCAAGCTTTGCGAATCTATAAGGCATTCCGTACACAATGAATTCCCCTTTGCAGATGAGAGTTTCCTACACTTTCTGATGTTGAACTTCATAAAGTTAAACGGGGACCGTCCAGACAAATTGTCTAAATTAGAATGCAGACCGCATGAGTACATTTCCATATAGAAAGAAGGGAAGAGTTGAACATCATCAGCATAGGTATATAAACTGACTTAAACACCGTTGAAAGATCATTTAGAGTAGCCCGGTCATACCTGTCCAGTTCTCGCCTAGTTGTCTATTCCCAGTCTTATGCAGTGGAATCAAATAGCAGCTTTTCGAACATAATGAAAAGGCACCCGTTCGAAGGGAAAGATTAAAGATATTAGTGATCGCAATAAATTTGCTATAGGTCAAAATCACAGTTACAAAATCTTCCCTTTGTGAAAAGAAAGGCGAATTTGAAAACTTTGCAATCCGCTTTGAGTGATAACAAGACAAGGGTGTGCACTTCGAAGTCCCCTTACAAGAATAAGCTCAAAATTCTGCCACAAACTGAAAATGAACTCTGTTTAACGGAGAGAATACATGGATCTTGATGGGTGCATTCGCACAACTAAACAAACGAGAGAGAGAAAACGGGTTAATAAATAAGTTCTTCACTCAGAACGGGCTGCTAATACTCTACGGAAAAAAAGTATCGTTTTCTGACTTATTATACCCTACACCACTTGTAGTACAGATACATTAAGTGTGGTTGTATGCAACACGCAGAAGCGCTTAAGATTGACCCACCTCTTATTATAACGATCGATTCAGAATCATAGTTCGAATTGATCTAAACCTCTCTGCCCGTCTGATGTTTGTCCATGTAAATTTGTGTTCAAGCTGCAAGTAGCAATTTTTGAGATGTTTCGGTGAAATGTGTGTGATCTATTCCAAGGACGAACGCTATTGAAAGTGGTTCCGATTGGTCCACTTTTTCAACCGCTTGCCACTTAACGCCCTATTCTGAAAAGTCGTTACATGCAAAAAAATTGCAATTTCTAAAATTTCTCAGCAAAGGTGGCTAAGTAGTAGAATTTGGGCTGTGGCAAATTTTGAACCCCCTCATGTAACGAAAACTGAAGTTCAGACGACAAAAAGGTATAATTTTCAATGCTTCATGCAGAAAATTATACCATAACAGTAATTTAACATGAAAATATTAAATGTACCAAATTTTGATCTTCTCAGAGTATTTTTGGGTTATGACCTATGTAAGGATTAAACTTATACTACATTAGGTTGCGTTTTGGGTCCGCTTCCCCATAAATACGCAATTCAAAAATTTGCGTTTACGTATAAAATATATACAATTTTTGGGTTTCATAATTAAAATAAGAATTGTGTTACACAATGTGTTTTGGGATATTTAAAGGTCGGTCTTACCCGACTATAATGTTCTTACTTATTTTAAGAAATGAAGCAATGATTTGAGCAATGAACGTATCGAATATTAAAATATGCATTTTTGGATGGAATGGTTGCAGAACTATGTTTCTTGGAGTTTCGGAGCTGCAGATGCGACAGTATTAGTTATTTAAGAGTAATTTCACATATAAGATTATTGTGGAAAATTTGGATTGGATTAGAAATTTTTTGAAATCTCTTTCAAATAGACCTCCTTACCAAAAACGATCCTATTTATGACAACAACGTTGCATTTCTAAAATGTTATGATGAGCATTGGTCCACAATAGCAATTTGGCACACAAATTTGCTATGATGTGCTTGGATTACATAAGGCCATTTTTGGGGCCGCTTTCCCTTATAAAAGCCTTTTGAAAAGTAAGCGTAGTAACAAGCACTAATTTCGTATATTTTATAACGGAAAAGATGAATAATTATAAGTTCTATTAACTAACTTTGGAATTTTGTTCCTGCAAAGATTTTTCTGAAAAGTAGGCATTCCAGTGGCGGCAACGAATGATGTTTCGCATGTTATCACGACAACAAATGAAATATTTGCGTTAGGCTAAGTGGCATATAGCGTTTACAAGTGTGGATAGCCGTTTTTATTTGTTTTTACCTACGAACTCTCATCGCATTGGTATTTGTTGACGCGCTTAAGTTTGAAAAGTGTTTGCGCTTATTTTAAAAATAAACATTTTGTCGCCATATTCAACGTACACGTTCACTTCCTATGAGTTAAGCGCTATCTACTTTAGATCTTTTACTATCACATTTCATTTTATCAATATTGAACTTAATGACTTATCAACTTGATCCCAATCGGCTTAATCCACGTTACGTGCCAACAACTTGTCATACCGTTACCGTTACCTATATTGAGAGGGTGAACAAGCATTTCTATTGTATCACAACATCTAGAGAAATACGTTTAAGTTTTGCGTTTCCAATTTCAATTCTCATCTCTAACCACCAGAACACCTCAAAGCCATCATTTTGTCGTCTTCACGTATAAAATCAACAAAAACAACAAAAAAATTTGTCAAATTTTATAAGCATATTAGAACCAGGTTCCAGAAAGACTTCTGAAGGATTTAACTATTACGAAGTCGTGCAAATTCTAGAATATGAAGCAAATACTTGTCAAAATTCTGATTTTTCGGGAATCCACCGTTAATCCTTTGAAAGAAAACTTTCAATTTTCAGTGAAAGCCTTGCAGCGAGTACCATTGATGAAATTAAAATAATAGTTACAGCCATAAATAACTGTAAAAGGCCACCATCGATATTCGTCGAATATAATAACATCTTAAAGAGTGCACAATATAGTCTTCGCAAAGAGCTTTTTCTCATTTCAACAGATACTGGAAGTCTTTAACATAATTCAAAGTAACAAATTAAATGGCTACAGTATTGGGCATTAGATTTTTAGATATGGAAGAACGGTTTGATTCAGTTTCGCCTGACAGATTTGGTTACAAGCCAGACGTTTTTGATTGTCCATAAGACATTGCGAAAATATTTAACGAAATTTTCGCTTAATCGTTCTTTTATCGTTAACATAGCATATGTTTTTATTCGATTTATACGATCGATTTTAATATTCCCGAGGACCAAAATGTTGCATTTTATGACGGCGCGTTTATTTGTTATGGCAGAGTGCTTAATATATGAATTAAAATAATGAAAATCTTGGAATCGCCTAACAGCACCTAAATAAATAAAACATTTCAATCAACCTATTTGAAATGTAAGCCATCACATTTCCTTTTCAAAATGGATCAAGGCATCTGGCATCCATTTCGCTCAAATTCGATGAAAAACACCGCCCGCAGTTCACATCCATTTACATTCAAAAACTTAACCACAAGTGACATTAAGGAAAGCGCAAACGAAAATTCGATCCCAATTTCAGCATTTTATCTTGTTTGTTATACCTGCAGATGTTCAAAAAAAATGTGATTCAAATTGACCCATTTTGATAGAATTAGGTGTGTGCCATCAACACCTCGAAGATAAGACCAAGGAGAGAAAAATTGATTATAAGTATTTAAAGTTTTTTTCGCGAATATGAAAATCACAATAAAAAAGTTTAGGAATTGAAAATGACCCCCTCACCATTTTGTAGTTTTAGAGTTAAAAGAGCAAGTAACCGGGTTTTATTTGAAGAAGTTTACTTTGGATATGCAATCTATCTATCTACTTATATAGTAAGCTGATTTCTTTAGATAACATGTTTTGGCTTATGGTCTGTATTTGGTACTTCTTGTTTCACAAATTCGAGAAGTTTGCGAGTATGATTTGGAAAACAAAAGGTGACTAGAATAAAAAAGAAAGTTGGCCAAAAATTTTCGAGACAAATCCCTGCTTCTGGCCCCTTAGTAATAATATTGTTCAAATTAATTTATGGAAATTTGTCAAAAACTTTAAAAATTATAACAAATTTATACACATTCCTACTATTTTTTTATTAGCGCTATTAAGGAATTAACAAATAACGCGTATTGAGACTTTAGGTTAATTACTGCAAGTACGTCTTTACTTCTACATGAGATGTCGATAAAATAATTTACGTTTTGAATAGAAATTTGTTAAATATCTTCGTAATCTGAATACATGTTCGAACAGGTTTGCAAATTTTCTAACTAATTGCAGGGAATACTTTTCTTTAGGGACACTAGGTGTGACAAGCCTATTACGTTAAAAAAAATCAAGATTAATTAAAAGATTAATATGGCGATAAATAACAGTGACATTTCTTATCACAATCACTTCTCTTTATTAATTAACGTTACTTTTTTACTTACCGAAACCCAGCAGGCACATAAATATTAACGCCAAAAAACGATGAAATCTGCTTGCTGGGTTACAGCAACCGACATGCTTAAAATCCAGTTCACTATCCCTATCCTTATCTTGAGGATCTTGTCGATTAGGTGTCGAAACATCTTGTTCTTCGTCTACTATAGGCAAACGATCATCGACCATGTTGAGTTGTTTTGTTAATGAATATCCGTAGGTATAATGCTTAAATGACGTTTCCGAGACTACTAAACTTTCATAGTTTCGCTCGATATTGATCATTAACTTTATAAGAATATTTATTGTTCGTGTGTCTGAGGGCGCTGTGTTTTATAATAAAAAAGCACAAATTTATAGAGGAAAAGAAATCAGTTTCTACACTGATAGCGATGAAAAACGAGATTCCATGTTTTGCGAAATAAAAAAAAACTACTGAAATCCGCATTGCTTGTTACTTATTCAATTTGCAAATCTTATCTTCGTTCTTGTATGACCGCAGAGGTTTACGTTTACGTTTGCTTGACCATCTAATGTAATTGTTGCTTTTGTGGACTCAAAGTTCTTTTTCTAATGTTATTGAGTTTTCTCTTTTTCTTTCATTTTCTTTTTTTCAAGTTTTGAATGCAACGGCTATTGAATTAGTAACGATAATCTTACTATGCGTAAAGTATGACGATAGCGTCTGGCATTAACGATAAAAAAAGAAAAACAAGTAAAACGCTTAACACTTTGATGCTCACTTTGAAATCGTTTAGTGTATGCAAAAACACATTTTGTTTTTTTGTTCCTTAACACTAAGAATATAGGACTGCAAAGATTTCACGTGCATCTACAAGCACACGCATGACTGTAGACCTAATCTACGCCAATGTTCCCAACTATTTTCGAAAGCGTTCGTGCTAGGGCTAGAGGTTGTGTCGGTGTTCATCAAAATATCCCAAAAACTGTCACAAAATTACATCGAATTATGAAGTGTTTCTGAATCGACCGAGTAAGTGATTTGGAAGTCGGTCTACACGCAAACTTAATGCACCCTTATGTCACAAGTGGGGAAGGGCATAAGGAAACTTTTCTGATAGCTGATGTAATCTTCAAAAAAAAAGAAAAACAACCATCTACAAGTTCGATTTTAATCAGGAAAAGCTTGTATCAATAACTCGTCCAAAAGTCTCTACGCATATATACAAACTCACAGAGGTTAAGTGTGTGTCCAAGATTGCAGTTGAATTAAAATAAAGTGAACAGTGCAAAAAATTAACAGCATTGGGATATTTTAATAAGCAACAGAAATTCCAAAACTGCTTCAGTTTTGCCATTGTCATAGTGTAAAATCTGACAATTTCCCAATATTGAAAAACACTACGTTCATTTACGCCATTGTGCAAAAAAAGGTTTTGAAGGAAAAAAAGTTGTTCAAAAGGAACTTCTCAAGTAGATATCATGTCAATACTCTCTTTAAAGCAGGTATTGCTACTAAAAATCTCACTCGTGGGAAGTAATCTGCTATTCTTTGTCTTTTAATTTACTAATCAAGGCAGTGTTTCACAGAATGTTATCCTAGCCAAAGCAAGTACAAGTATTTGCACGAAATATATATTCTTAATAATTTGTATAAAAATTCCAACCATCCGAGAATAAGCCTAATATTGCCAAGCAATCATTTGAAAGGTAAGGAAAGTTTAACAATAAACGCATCAACTGTTTTACCAGTGTTTGCAAGCGTGATTTCGCCTTGATATAGAGAAACAAGTAGTAAAACTGGGAGAAAGTTATTCAAACACAAGTTATCAATAACGTTTAAAATTATAATATCATATGATATGTGATTAAAAGATTTACACGAATACTTTTTTTTAAAGAAAACAAGTATTTGCACGAAATCGCAGATCGATTTGCATTTAAAATTGTTACTTGTCGGTTGTGAATCCCTTTGCATCTCACGCTCTTCGACTACTTTCTTGCTAAGGTAAAACATTCTCTTGTTGATTTGGACAGACACTCGGACATAGTGTTTGAAGAAATTCCTATGGTGTTCCGTCCCAGCTTACTTCTTTTGAGGTTATTTTTTTTTAATTTTTTATTTCTTTAAACAATCAAAAAGTTGACTTGCTTCCATTTTATTTCAATTTTCCCATCATTGTTTTTCCTATACTTATTGTTTATATGTGAATTATTATGTTAATTTCATTATTTTTGGCTCTCAACCCAGATGTTTTTTTTTTCCTATCAAATAATATGGTAGCATGACTAGTGATTGTCTTGCCACTTAGGATTTATGTTCAATGACTGCTTTGTTTTGCGTTGCGCACGAAATGTGAAACTAAAGTTGATTGCGTGTATTTAAATATAAATAAAGTAGTTGTTTACACTTAATAAGCACGGTACACAAAAGCCAAGAAGTATACGACGAAAGTTTACCAGACTTTCCGAGTAAAATGGCAAGAGAAAAATATTGCAAAGATATATCCAAGGAAGTCCACGAGGTATAGCGTAAAAAAATTGCAAATAATTGAGCTAAACTTCTCTATATTTTGAATGAAAAGTGCAAAGTGAGATGGAGGTCGGCGAAAGCTCGCTGTAGACGGCTACAATATCGCACTGCTCCAGACGGAAGGCTAAAGATACGATATTTTTGGAAGTGTGTGGGTGTGTGCAATATAAACTAGTAAGTAAGCTTGTAGGTAGAAGCGGGGCTAAAGTTTTTCGCTGCCCGACTAGTTCGACTACACACACATTTTTCATCTTTTTTTCCTCCCTTTTCTTCCTTCCGCCCTTCCTTACATATATCATATCAACAAGAAAATTTTTTTTTGCTCGAGAATAACTAAACCTGTCCGCGAGTCTCATTATTCGTTAGTCAATAGTTAATACAACAAAAAAAATTGTTTTCTCGCATAGAAATATATAGCAATATACTTTATGTAATTGTCCTTTTTTTGTAAATAAAAATGTAAATGACTGCTTTAAAATTTTATAGTGCTTGAATCGTGAACCGTGATTGGGTTTTGTTTTCATGAAAATACATTACTATTTTAACCGTCAAATGCGACGCACGCACAAACGTTGCCAAGCGTTAGTTGTTTCTCCTCCCTTCATCACACCGTAAATTAGTTTTTGAGAACTTCCCAGAGAGAATAGTTTGTCCTACATTTCACAAGCCTACAGTTTTCAACAGTTTCTGAAAACACCTTAAGGCTATATATTATCCTATTAAATTCCGTCAACATTACATATTGTAACTAAAAACACGAGTCATTTTAATTTTAACAAGAAATTTCTTAGAAATAGTTGCTGGAAAGAGCTAAGTGATATTACAACTGTAGATAACCCCGTTTCATAACATAAATTAAATCGTCTTTCGTAAGTCAATGAATCAACAACAGATAACTTGCTGAGTTGATTAAAAAAACAAACTAAATAAATAACTTGTAAATTTAAAAAAAATTGTCTCTATTTCCACTTCTTCGTTCTTCTGTTTTCGTTTACATGCAACATCGTATGATTTGCCAATTCCCATAAAAAGTAGACAAACTGCATCATTGTGTCTGCCCCTAAGGAGGTCAACATAGTAGGCTAAAAATTATTTGAATACGACAAGATAAAGGAAGGTGGTTTGACTTAGTTTCCTTAAACTCCACAAATGGCAATGAGAGAATGATGGTCGGATTCAATAACAAATCAGCTGGTATGCTACGGAATTTTGTGCCGAAATTTTACAACGCAAGACATTGTAAAAAAAGTTCATGTTTATTAGAAATACAAAGCAAAGGTAAAAATTTTAAATTACATCTTTAAGTGACATCTTAGTATATTAATTTTAGTCATTAAAACCCAGTAACCAAATTAAAACATAAAAAATATATTTAATAACAAAAATGACAAAAATTGCCAAATATTGGCTTCTGCTAGAATCTATGCAGTTTGCTGCAATAAACGGTAAGGGTTTTTGATAATAGCAATATTAAAGTGTTAACAGTTAACCCTTTTTAATATAGATAAAAAAGAACATGGAGACGCACAATATTTGAAGGAGTCATCCTTAGCTAACGATATGCAACGTTTGTCTCATAACATTCGGGAATTTCGAAAATATATAAAATTACCAATGAAAGATTTGGTTCGTCAATTGATCGAAGATTTAAATTTAAAGCATATTCTAGGCGAAGCTGTCGAGCTGGGAGAAACGGAAGATTTTGCAACCTTGTACAGTTTTTACGGGATTTGTATGATAAAAGAAATTGCAAATAATGTTAACTTCATTAGTAATGCTAAAGAAGATTTGGTAGCAGAACGTCATAAATGTTTGTTCATCGCTTGCGTTCAAGACATAGCTCAATGGAGTTTGCAGCAACACTTACATCCAAATTTTTACAAAGGAAGACCTGCCTTGTTCTCCAGGCCTCATGATAAAAAAACGAGTTTTAAAAATCTGGAAATTTATATTGGAGGATTTACACACGTATTATTTATTAAACCTTTACATATTGGCAAATCTCTAGATGAACCTATTCTGCAATACATGGCTGGTATTTTTAGTTTATTAATGGCCTTTGAAGATAAAGAATATGTAATGGCTGACCAAGAAATCATTAATAAGACTGCATGCTTACAGCGCGTTTGGTTATCTCTGCCTAAAGCTTTATATTTTCGAAACTTAATGCTAATGAAAAACAATAAAATTTTATCATCTTCCGGGCAAAAGATTTTACAACGCCAGTTGTTAGTACGTCTTTGGTCGCCGGGTGGTTTCAACGCAGTAGTCTTTGCTTTGGCTGAATGTAAAAATGAAGAACATTCGTTGGAAGAACTTATTTCGCGTTTAATTGCTCAACCTGCTTACTCGGCGAAGGCTCAGAAAAGCTTGATAGCGCAAATCCTTAACTTTTTGCAATCATGTGTGGATAACCAGGAATTGCTGCAATATATGGGAGTGGGCTTGTTGTCTCTGCGGCGACTTTATGATCTTAACGACGAAAATAAAACCTTTGTAGAAGGATGGTTACAAAGTCAATTACACATTTTGATTCAACCAAGCTGCGAAAAAGACTTCGCAATAATGGATTGGTCTAATTTCCAGAGCCTCATATCCTTCCTATTTCATCTTTTCTGTACTTCCACCGTAGAGTGCTTGCCTAGTAATTTGTTAACGTCGTATCTAAATCTTATATTGAATATCTTTTATCATGTGCAACAATATAATAATGTACAGCTTTTACAGGGGCAATTGAAAGCGTTAATTTTAAAATGCCTGCACAATCAAAACGCCAAAGACTTGCATAAGCTAATTGAAGCTTTAGCTCTCCAGAGAACTGATTTCAATGGATGGTTTGCTTTAAATGATTGCATACGCTTTGATGAAAATCCTTTAAATTCACAAGATTTAAGAATTATTCTTACGTCAGAAGGCCCACATCTTTGGGACCCTCTTCCCGCGTTGGTTATTATTTTAAAATCTTCAACTTTTAATTTGCTTACCTACAATATATTTTTAATATTATTTCGTCTCTTACCTAAATTAATGAAAGAAGACGAAGAAGAGAAGAAAATAAGTGAAAGCATGGAATTATTACAACCGGAAGATCTTCAGCAGACAATATTACGGGAAGTTAATAGCACGTATGCAGGAAGATTGCACATTATAAAGGCTTTGGAGTCTCTTGTGCAACACCAGCCTATGAAGTGTATGATCAATGAAAATTGCAGTGAATTGCTTCGATGTCTTGCCGATATTCTCATAAATTTCGCTGAGCTCAACAAGCACCTTGTCGAAATAAATGAGTCGACTTTGATGATAACCTTAATATTAATTCGAGAAGTTATGCAAATTTCTACGAGCAGTAGTGACGATTTTCAAACAGTTTTATCCAAGCCGCTGCATAACCTCTATGAAAACATTGATCGTCAAAGTCTAAAATATCAAATTTTATCTTTATTACATCTGTTGCAACGGCAAAATAACCTGAATGTTAGATATGAACCTTTGAAAAATCAATTTGAAGAAGCTCGTGGTCTAGTGGAAGCGAAAGAGTCCTACCTACAAGTGGAGGGTATTGAGAAACTAATAAAACTCGTAAATTGCCGAGACGCCTACACCGTCAGTAATGGTCACGCTGTAGTAGCCATGGCTTTAAATACTTTAAAATCTCCAGAATCCTATACGTTCCTTAATTGTGTTCGTCTGTTTACAGCCTTAGTACACGTAATGGAAGTTGAAATTTTGGATTTGCTTGGAGATGAATATATTGCCGATTCTAGTACTCTAGATTATCGCCTTGTAGTTGGCGAAGTTATTTTAAAAATAGGGCGTGAATTAGGTAAAATTTTTTATCTTTTAAACAATGCAATTCTTATGAGATTTAATTGCAGGTCCTTTGTGTTATAAATATAAATTTATTCTCTTGAATTGTTTCATGAATGGCTGTCGTTCACATCTGAGCGAATTTCGATTATCTGCCTTTTCAAATTTAGCGCAATTGTGTAGAATACTTACCTATCAAGTCCATCAATATTTTCAGGAAGTAAGATTATATTTATTCTTTATTAGCCTCAAGTTTTTTTACCCACCATCTAGGGTGTCGAAATGCTATTGCGTTTTTTTGATGAATTAGGTTTCTTTTGTAATTTTTCCATATCAGGACAAGCGAGAATAGAAATGTTATTGTACTGTGTAATTTGACTAAATTACTACTCTTAACGCCTTTGAACCACAAGAAAAGAGGTATTAATAGTTGGTTACTTACCATAGATAATGCAGTGCAGAAAAATGAGAAGTTCGATGTATTGATTCGTCCGGAACGTAAAGGATCTAGTAATACTCGTACACTATTTTATCAAGATAAAGTGTAGGCATTTAATTAGACTCTTATTATTTAAATGAAATTAATTACATCTGAACCGTAGGTGGTGGGTATTGGAGATTTTTTTTTGAATGAGAATCTTGCTTATTTATTCAATTTTCAGTTGCTTCACTTAATTGATTACGAAATCACTTCCGGTAAATATTTGCCCGCGAAAAGAGCTGCTGTTTTGGTGCTTAGTGATTTACTAGAAGGCATGGATAACCTCATCGATTATGAGGAAATGCTTTTACCCATTTATCGACTATTAAAATATTTGGCATATTTTAAGCAAAGTGATGAACAGATACGTGTACATGCTACCAATGGTTTAAAGAGCTTATCAGAAAAGTGCACCAAATTACTGGAGGATATTACTGCATCACCTCTGGAAAAAGAAATTAAAATCCTCGGGTTAAAAGACAGCTCTAAACCAGGTCTAAAGAAACATATACTTGTAATGAATTAAATAAATTACATTTTTGCTATATGTATGAAAAAACAAGCAAAAAACGCATCGACATAGATTTAAAACCGGATCGAGTGAATGTTTGAACTAAACAAACAATACTTTTTATAAGAAAAATAATTTTTTCCAGCTGAATTAAACAAATAATACTTTTTATAAGAAAAATAATTTTTTCCAGGTGAAGAAAATTGTCAGCAGAAAATCGAAATATATTTGAAACGTGAAAAAAGAAAATTTCGATCATGAAGAAGTATCCTCTTTTGCTGATTGACGATTATTTTAAATATTACGCTGAATTGTGATAAAAAGCCCTTTGAAAGTGTGCAAAAGTGAAAACATAATAATACATTGACAATTGAAACTCAACTAAAACAAAACTAGTAACTGTTAGTGCAACGTAGCTGAGAGAAAAACTGCGTTATATTCAAAAAAAAAAAAAGAAAAGAAAACAAGAACTGACACGTCTGAAAAAGTGAAACACCGCAATTTGAGAAAGCAACCTCGTTAGCTCTTACTGCGGAATTTATTTCACCCGAAGTACATCACTACAAGCCCCGACTGCATTCCATTTCATAATTTGACTCTCTATCATCCCTAAGGCTATAAAACTCAATCTGCGCAGTATGGTTTTTCACAGACACTATCTCTCTCAAAAGTGGGGACATTAAAATCCCCAGAGCCAGATCTTATGCCCACACTATTGTTTAAATACACAATAAATATATACACTGGATAAATATCCAGCTTAGAAACAATTCTTTGCCACTAATAGAACTCGGCCAAGATTTGTATCATGATTTCTTTACCTTGGAGATTTTTATCATCTCTAACAAAAAAATAAAATTGATTACCTCCGATGCGGCTACGGAATATTCTATTGTCGTCAATGCTTCATTTTACGATATTTATAATATTTGCATTCCAAACGAATCGCTTGAAATCTGTGTGGTTGCTTCCATCCTTCAAATTTACTCAACTGCCTGTCCCAAAAACCTACTTAAATTCGGACCCCTCCCTAACTTCTGCAAAGTTGCAGAAGTCATGCGCTTCTGCAAATTTGAAACTCCAACTCTCCTGCGCTTTTTGACGCAGTCCGCATAAGTTTTTCCGGGAATGTTTTACCCTCTCATATTTGTTTGGAAGGCTTTAACTTCCCGATCAAACCCTATGTCGAACCAATTTTACAATGCCGCGAATGGTGGTCTTTCGATCACACGGATAAAATATCCTCGCGTCAATCGTCCTTTGCGTAAGCCTTGAATGCTCCTCCAATTGGTCTCAAGCTAAAAAATGCTTCAGCTGTAAGGGGGAGTATCCATCTAGAACTTCTCCATCATATAAGAGAATTGTAAATTTATAAAAGACGCAGCGAATTGTCTTAAGCTACAAGTTTACTCTTTCTCTCGGAGTACATACGCACGTCTAAATTATAGTAATAACGATTTCTCAATTTCTCTGGAGAGCTTCCCAAATAGTCTCAGCCTACAATCAAACGACCAAATATTGGGGCTGCTATTTCAGTTCTAATTAAGAAGACTCTAAATCGTGAAATCACCATATTCCCTTCCAATATAATATCCTCAAATCCTGAGATTGTGACAACCATCACAGACAATCTTCCTTCCGATCACGAAACGATCACTGTCACACACAATTCCAAGCCGTTCTCTCAAACAAATTTTATTATTAACTCCGCCGCATGCTTATCTTGCGACCTTTACAAGGATATTCTTAACCAACGATTCTCCTCGGGTTCGTACTCCTATTTCCAATCGGGCAATAATGAAAATAGCTCAACTTAATTGTCGTGACAAATTAAAACAGCTGGAAAAATACCTTCATTGTAATAACATGCCATGTGTTTCTGAAACTTCTCTTATGTCCCATGATTCATTTTCTATTAAAAATTATAACGTGGTAAGATTTGATCGTATTTCCAACTCATCTAATGCTACTGGGATGGCGATCTTCACATCTAACAAGCTTTCATTCTTTTGCGCTTCTAATTTTGCAAATTTGAAACTTGTAGCTGTGCCATTCACATTTCCTTTGGAAAACTCTTGATCATAAGTTGTCATATTTTATCTAATTTTAATGTTTCTGGTTCTGCAATCTATAGGTTATTTTCTTTCAGATCCGACAAATCTGCATCAATATATGGTGATTTTAATGCTTACATTGTGTGTTGGTGTAGTTGTTGTAGAAAGCAGCAATCTAGGCTTACTGAATAATGATGATTCTACTAATTTTAGTTCCTTCTTTTCTTGTAAGGATCTTTCGATCTCTACACCCAATCTAAGTTGAATGAGAATGGCCCTTAACAACACTTTAGGTGGTTCTCACTGTCTAATCGTAACTGGTCTTTGATTTCCTATTATCCGTTGCTATTCATATATTCATATTTCAAAGTATTACAAACGCTCTGAACTGTCTTACTTAACAACACTGTCGGTCACATTTCGAATATCATCCAAGCCAATGGTTTTTCGGATCTTTCTTGGCAGATTCTCAATGTCTTTCACAGATGCTCTGAAACGAAAGTCTCGTAGAAATTCCTACCCTCCTTGGTGGAACGTTCAATGTAGTCGACTCGCTGCCAAATTTAAACTTTCTGCAAACAATGCACTCCTTGTAGGATAATTTTCAAATTTTTGGCCCATATTAGAAAGGAATATACTCTAAGGCTGGAAAAACGTAAATTCTGGAAACAATTTTGCGAAATTCTCTTCAATCAAATAAACACTAAAATAAATAAATAATAATATTATGTACCAAATCTAACCCTAACTTTACGAAGGCCCAAACAAAGAGCTCTGTGTTCACATTGGGCCTTTTTTACATATCTCAGCGAATTTCCGGTTGTTGGTTTGCTGAACAACAGAAGAGGAAGAAGAATTAAATTTTTTATACATATATATATTTTTATACAATAACAGCAGACTATTATGTACATAAAACTGTGCAGGGCTTTTCGGCATTGTCTTAAATACATGTTCACCCAAATGAATTTCGCGAAGCAGTGTACATAATTTCATCGCTTTGGAGTGTGCATTTTTCACCAAATTCAACTTTATTGTATTATTTATAACAATGTTGTAGGCGGTTTCTGTCGATAGGCTTTTTCTTTGCTCTCTGCAAAGGTAGTGTTACGTTCAATCAAGGAATTCCGTTAATCAAGATTTTTTTCTATAGTTCTTTGCTCACAAAGTAGCGTCATTTAAAGGGAGAACTATGAGAAGGCAAAAAGTCCAAAGTTTGTCTGTATAGCATAAGAGTAGGTTTTGTATAAAAAAGTGGCTTGCTCCTTTTTTATGATTACTGGGACAAGCGAGATTACGACCTGATACAGATTCTCAATTAAGTCAAGTGTGTTTGAATGGAGAAATTAATTAATATTTTTCCAGTTAAAAAGAAAAAACAAAAGGCTTTGATTGCAGAAAAGAGTCGTTGGCAAGATAGTGAACCGTTCAGGTAAACGTGTGAGAAAGAGAGCCAATAGCATAACTACGGAGTTTTCCTTTAATAATCGTGCAATTTGCAAAACGGATATTTTATATATTTATATATATAAAACAAAATAAAAAGATATAAAGTTTGATTGGCATACGAATAGAGACCTAAAATTGTGAATACCTTACAGAAGCTTAAAAGTTTTATGAATTGTTGGTAATTTACTGTAATTTTGTGCTAAATTAATAGACAAAAATAACAAGAAGTTATTATCGATAGAAAGATATGAACATAAAGAAATGGTCTTCAGTGGCAGTTTTGAAAAGAAGAAATCAAAGTAAAAAAAAAAAGGTAACAGTTTGAAGTGCATTTTTTTGCGCCTTGAAAGGAGTACAAATACGGCAATTCAACAAACAAAGTGCCATGTGAGGAGGGAAAGAAAGAAAAACATTACACCAAGTAAGGAAAATGTCGAGGAGAGGAATTAATTAAACAAAATTAAAAACTAATATTTTCGTGTTTTTGAGAAAAGATATTTAACGGCATTAATAAAAGACCTTCCGTCTGAGACTAACAGAAAATCATCAGCATATTAGAACACATTGAATCTATAATTCTGCAGCTATTGCAAAATAGCGGTGCTGAGGTTGGACAGAATGTGGATTAGATATCTGCTTTGCGGCAAACTATCTTGCATATCAACAAGAACAGAGAGTGGTTTAATAAGAAATTAGGAATCTGTAGACATTTGTGAAGAGGGACATGAATTAGCGTTAGACTTTACGCCTGAGCTCCTCTTTTACTGTTGATCAGCATGTTTGCCGACTTGTGTTTCTAGTAAGCAAAGGAATGAGACGGAGTGGTGAGGACTTTAAGGAAACGGATAACTCGTTCTTTAACCATGATTAATGATTTTTAATCAGACGCAGATGAGACCGGTAGGATTGAAGTCTTTAATGTCATTTTTGCCAGGTTTGAGGATCGGAACGATTTTGATACGTCTACAATCATCAGGAAAAGTATTGGTCAACCAACTTCGATTGAGCTCGTCTAGACAGCAGGCGCTACTTGATTTGATTATATTCAGTAGGGCCTTGCCTCTATATGTCGTCTTGGTGGCTCCCCATAAACAGGGTGTCTGGCATTAAAATCACGAGCAAGAATGATATTAGGAAAATTGTCCAGAGGGACGCATAGCCGAAACATATTGTCACGAAACCTCTGAATAACAATTTGTGGAGGAAAATATACGGAAGCAATCACAATGCTTCGATGCAGATTCAACGATCTGATGATGACTACATCCGAAGTCAAAGAGGATACGTTTGAACCAAATGCCACCAAAGAGTGCCACCAACACCTAAGCCGTCCTCCCTGCATTTGATAGTCGTAGTATAGTTAGCAAGTTTTACATTTGAGTAAGGCTCGCTTAAACCAAAACTTTCACTGGGAATACAAAAATCAATATGATTTGAGCCGAGAGCTGAGGTCGACACAGCCAACTGGAGAGCATCGTACGATTTCGCAATACGATTCATTTTTTCTAGTAAAGTGCCTGTTTATTGCGGTAATTGCAGATCTAAAAGCTTGGAAAATATTGGAAACGAGTTTTTCAAATTTTGTAGACTTGTGAGTGTCAACATATTCTTTCTTCTAATGTGGCGGATTTCGTAACCGTTTTTGATTTTGTAATAACAACTTTATTGAATCTCTTTTATGTAAGGATTTTGTTAACGGTATGGTTAACGTCTCTAATGTTATCATTAAAGCCGGCAGAGGAAAGTAGAGGAAATTGGTTTCATATTTGCAAGTGCCAATAGACTCGACATAGTTATGAGAAAATTTTTCTTGATGTTCTTCGCAAGAAATATTTTCTATCGTCATGGTTTTGTTGCTCTGTTCTTCTTTCTTGCTGAACGGACATATTCCGGTTAGCGTGTTGTGGGTAAAAAAGCGACACAGAAGGCATTTGGTGTTGTTCTATTCATTTGTACAGCCAGGGGTGTTGCCGCATTCTTTTGGTTTGTAAACTATGGCTGAAGCGACCACCTTTAAAGCCTAACAGACAGAATAAAGGAATTAACTAGGGGAGTAATGGAATCGAATCGTGAGAGTAGCGGCAAGCCGCTATAGAGAGAAACAGAAAGAAGAAGAGAGAAATTGAGCAGGAATGAAAAGTCTGTCTGTGTTTTTTTTCTAAAATAGAGGGGAGAACGACTTGGCCTCTGCTGAGGTGCGGACGTGTCGGCGAGCTGTGAAAGTTATTATTCACTTCAACTTTATTTAATAAATAGAAATTTAAACGTTTTGTAAGACGCAGCAGTGAATCAAAATAGCAAACAAAATATTGAAATAAAAAAGATAGAGGGATGCCTTTTGGTAGTTCGAAGAAAAGCAATTATTAACGAGAACTAATAAAAAGTAAAAAAACAAAATAAAACCTAGAACTAATAAAAGTGCAAATAGTTCTTTCTTGTAAACTTGGTGAACTAAATTCCAAATTTATATGTTATAACCCTGCTGATAATTTGTTCGTACCAGTAATTTAAGAAATCAGTTTATTGGGTATTTTGTAATAAAAATTAAGTACAAAATCCAAAATACCTCAAATATTGCAAAACAAAAAAAATAATCACGAAGAACGAAAAGTAATAAGCATGTGAAAGGAAAATTACTAAGCCCGAAATTTGTGACCAGAAATATATTCAAGTAAAGCAAAGAAAATATGTAAAACTAATTTTATAGGAAAAGAAAACTTACCAAATCTGAAATTTGTGAACTAAAATATATGCAAATAAAGCAAAATAAACTAAAATTGCAAATCAATGACAAATATGAATGATTCAGCTTTTAATTAAACCAAAAAGAACAGAGAGAGGAAAAACAAAGGGGAAGAAATTTCTCCATGTTGGTATACTAATATATTTACTTTGAAAAACATAAACTAATCAAGTTTACGAGATTTCTTTCGATTTTATCGGTTATAGCTGTTTGATCGTTTGTTAGTGTTTTATATGAATAAATAAGACCTTTCATACAACGTGAGGAATGAGCGACCAGTCTTTGTTATTTAGTGACACACGTCCCAGCTGCATTTTGCTTGTACTGATTAATTAAAACGGACTTCCTATCTCTCAAATGCAGCAGCAGGCATTTTAATGAAACATAAGTAAAGTAAGTTGAAATTCAACCTTAAAGAAAAGCAGAATAATTTAAACAAAGCCTACGATCCGTGCAGCGACTCTAGGGTTCCAGCGAGACCAATCCTTGTTCGGCTACGGCAACAACCTATCGGACCATCATCAGTCGTGAATTTGAAGCAGGCAACAACCCCTTTGCTGTGAACAGGAACCGCCGAAGGAAACAGTTACCGCCGCAGACTCTACATCGGCACCAACAGCATCAGGTATTGTAAGTCATCTTAGTCCATTTAATTCCCCGATGTGTGGCTGAGCGCGAGCTGCCACCGCTGTAGCTGAGATGAAGGGGGTGTGCATATGATGGCACCGTAGGGAGGACTCCAGACGGTTACCGACGGATCACGGTGGACAGACGGACGATAGACAACCGACGAGACCTTTTAATTTTTTTTTGTTGTATTCTTTGTCATGAGGCTCAGGGAGCCAAACCCCTTTCAATAAATACGCTCTACCGGCAACAAAGGGCCTAGTACCGTGACACGTTTTGGGAATTGTTTTGCTCTTGAATCCTATGTTTAAATTAGTGGTAGGGACAAATTTTGTATTATCATGAAGTGATTTACGAAAAAGCCGAGTCGGTGACTCGGCTCATCTCAACTAGTAACAAGTGATCAAGAGCAGCAAGCGGAAGCGTGCTATTTGATGTGCGATTTGCATGTGATATTTTTTTGCCTTCATTGTACTCATTTGGCCATAATTAAGAAGAAACAACTGGCGAGGAGCTTCGTAAACTGCTCTTCAATAGATACGAACAATGAAAGTACTTTCGTTCATATACTGCTTGCACTTCTTTCCAGAGTAGTCCTCAACAAGCAACTTTACATTCGTGGGATTCATGATTCCAACAAAATCATTTTTGCTACGTAGGCCTAGAGTGGTACACGTATCTATCCAAGGATCTTGGGTATTTAGATTCTCGTTTGTGAATCTCCTTTTGAGAACCGATGAAGCGGCTTTAGCGTGATTAAGGCTCACCAAGGACGCACTTAAAATTCCCACTAATGTTTTTGCTAGGAATTCTCAAAGACGGCTTTCAAAGCACGTCTTTTAAGCTTTCTGCGCCCCTTATCACTTCGGTGTGCAGGCTGATCCGCAGCCAATTCGCTCTTCGTTGGCTTGTCTACTTTACTAGAAGCAGCAGTGGGAGACGTCTATGTTGCGGTGCTGTTTCCACAGAGGGTTTTAGCGGGCTGCCGTTTTAGAGGGAAAAGGGTTGTCCATCCTATCCAGCTTGTCATTAGTATCGGCCGTGGTATATCTACTGCGTCTACATACCCGCTTAAAGCTCATGGCCGGCTCCACTTAGCCTCTTCTTCCTACCGCAGCGTTCTCCGCTCTCAGCTTTAGCTCTTTTGGGAGTTTCTACAAGTGTTCCCTCAGAAATTGATTTTGGTCCTTCCTCCGATACTTTCTGTGCTCCCACAAGCGACTCTTGCTGCGGTTCGAGGAAAAGTTCTCAGTCGATAAGTTATAAATGTCCAAATAGTCTCCAAACATTAGAGTATCTTACATTGCGTCTTGCTGAAGACGCATAATTTTGATTGTCGATCTCCATATGTTCTGTTGAGAAAAACGGTTTTTTGAAATATGTTTTTGATATGTACACGTGTTTATTCATATTAGTGCAAGTAGATTTCCATAAAGGTTTCGAGTATCAAAATCGGCTTTTAAATAAGCATTGCAAACGATTGAAAGAAGCGATGCTTTAAATATAACACATATACAACACCACTGATGATTCGTTAGCCATGATTTTAACCAATTTACATTAAATGTCTTTTTATGCCGTAATTAAAATTGCTTGTACTTTATATTAGGTCATGTTGAAAATTGTACGCGGTTTTTCTGCGGGATGTGCTTAAAGGATGACTTTTCAATTTACATTTTCTGTGAAGATAGATTTTCAATTCTTTGCTCGTGTAAATATTATATTGGTATGCAAATGAGTGAAATATCTGAAGAAATGTGTTATGTGAAGCTTTTTTACTATCAAAAAGCCACAAACGACGAAAAAAAATGTGTGCAGTGTACGGTGAGAATGCTGTGAATGAACGAAGGACCCGGGAGGGGTTTGCTCAATTCCATTCCGGAAGTTTCGATCTCAGAGATGCACTTTGCAGCCGCTAAAAAAGTCGTTGAAATATTAGAACTGGTGGAGCAAGACCAGCGCGAAGGCTGTCAAGAAATAGCGGAGGCGCTACACATCAACCATATGGTAGTTTGGAAACATATGAAAAGAGCAGGTTACAAAAAGAAGCTCGAAACCACGAAGACTTGTCAGTATTAAGATTAAGGAAATTTTCGTAATTTCCAGGCGCATAGTGCATTTCTGCTTTGCAATTTACACTTTTTTGTTACCCACGAAATTGACGCTAGACAGATACAAAAATTTATATAATAGATATAATTTTTCAATCAGACATTCTCAAGTTCAAAAATTGAAAATGGCATAAACAAGTTTCGGACACAAACGGCTGAGTATAATGGTCTAGGTGCGACCTTGGATTATTTTCTTATAATGTAGCTATAATTTATATGAGTGAAGCACAAGCTGACAGACCGACTGTCGACCTGTTTCTTAAAATGGGGATTGAAGCTTCTCTGCTATACTTAAAAGGTAACAAACGCTTAATATAAAAATTCAATATATGCATGTATAGCACAATAAAAACACTTGCGGTGAGTGCGGGAACAATCTACAATTACTACAGCGGGGAGTCTATTATTTATTGATTGTAACTGTTTGTTAGCCATAGCATACTTATTAAGATTAGATTTACCGCAACGCGGTAACTTTAAATCCACCCGTTTGACATTGATGCTAGGTCGCTATGGAACAGAATATAGAAAGCAGTCATACAGGGGCAAATGAAGGGTGCGTACATTAAATCAATCCAAAAATCCAATTTTGTGCACGTTATTAAGCACTTGTCTATTTGGATCCAAAAATATCTTTCAGCGACTGACTGATGTCGGCTTTTTAATCAAACCTTTTTTATAGCATATTTTGTTAGCGAAAAAGCTGCGACGGCCTGCGAAGAAAGCAAAATTCTTGGATGCATTTTGCCGATAGCTTCACGTAGAAATTTGTTGGCGAGTTGGTCAATTAATAATGGAGTTTATTAATAATGTATCTTAGAAGGTAAAAATCAACTGCGACCAACTTGTTATGTGACCTGGAGGAAATGGAAGTCTCTGATCACTCTTTTGGTGTCAGTAGAGAAGGTATGTGTGCAAGAGCGAGGACGAAAAACGGAAGAACCGAAGAAAAACGAATTTTGCCGTAGAATATTTTTATTAGCCATTCTTCATACACATTGATTTCAAATAAATTAAAAGTGAATATCTTCGATTATTTCGAGTTTTTCCACAATGCCCCTTGAAATCAATTTCATCAAATACAACCGTACTCGATAAAGGACGACCTTGACGAAAGGAGCCTATGTAAATTTCGAAAAAATAACGACTTTGAACTTAACACCCATCGAGTGAATATCAAACCCATATCCTACCCCAAAAAGTGATTATCAATACATATATATAACACATAATACTACACCATATCATAATACACACATAAAAAAAATTCCACTTAACTTCAACGCAGTGCAAATTCTAAGAAACTCTGCTACCTTTCGGGTCTTCACGGAAACTTTTCAATTCGATTACTCATGGGATTTTTTTCGGTTATCTGCGCCGAAGGCCGGTAATCACGTGTATGTATATAAAAAGATACAATAATTTAATGAATACATACGTTTATTGTTTATTATTAGTGTTAAATGTTATTATTATTATTATTATTATTATAATTTTAGACTAATGAAATAAATTCTTAGACTAAAAAAAGACATTGAGCACTAGCAACACAGGCTATCGGCTCTAATTTAAATAAATGTATATTAGATAATGAGCTTAGTAGTATTAATAAAGTAATATATTGAATTGATATTCTGTTCTGAAGCTGAGTAGTATTAATAAAGTAATATATTGAATTGATATTCTGTTCAAAGGGTTAATCGTTCCAAATGCAATACTTCTAGCCAAGGAAAAGTTGAGGCAGTCGCAGAGAATGTGCTTTATAGTAAGAGTTTGTCCACAACAGCAGATTGGGGAAGAAGACTTCTTCAGGATCCATTGCTGAGTTGCAATTGTATGACCAAGGCGAATTCTCGGGAATGTTTGAATCTTGGTTTTCTCAACATTTGTTGGATATAGAGGTGGAGTTAATTGAGGGTTAATGCAAGAGTAGTGTTGATGATGGTATTGTAAATTTCCTTCTGCAATTTTCTCTTTAACTTTTCTTGCAATGTATCGTTGAAGATCCAACTTTTCCATGACATCATCCATAATTAGAGGAGCAGAAGCAGCATACTTTGCCGCTCGATCAGCCTGCTCATTTCCCAGTAAACCTATGTGACTTGGTACCCATAAAATTTTAATTTTTCCGTCGGGTGTAGTAATTATATTCCTTAATTTGTTGATGGTGCTGCATCTCGAAGTCGAAGGATTCCGAACAGCTTGTAATACAGACAAACTGTCGGTAACAATAACGGGTTTGAGTTTGTTTTTATGGGCAAGGTTGGCAGCGTGAAGGATAGCTCTGGCTTTGGTTGTGAAAGTTGAAGTACTTTCGTGAAATATGTGGTTGAGAAGAACCCGTCCTGTAGCATCTACCACCGCACAAGCAGGAGGCAGACCAGGAGATTTTGAGCCGTCTGTGTACAAAAGATTCCAACCAGTACTGTCCAATACTTGGGTTTTTTCAGCTATTAGATTCCTGAAGACGTAATTTGGAGTATCTTCTTTCTTGTGCATAGACAGTGAGATGTCAAAAGAGCAGTCTTTCAAAATCCAGGGAGGTTTAACACCGAAAGAGCGAGAAATTTTTAAGGGAATGTTCAATTCCTTTGGGATGCACAAACAATGGTCAATTGCAGATGGTGACTTTGGAATTTTCTTTGCAATAATAATCTTTCTTACGTCATCACCGAGAATAGATTTGTTTGAATTAAGAAGCTTAGGGACTATTTTGGCTTTTAACTCAAACAGTCTATTTTCTAAAGTTGGGAGACCAGTTTCAATTATAATATTATTTTGAGCGTCGTCTGAAAAGCATAACAACTTGCTCTGACGGCTTGGTGATAGACCGGTTTAAGGATGTTGATATTAGATTTGCAGCTATTGCCATAAATTATCAAAGCATAGTCAATCTTGCTTAACACAAGCATTTTCGTAAGATAAGCAATAGTGTTAATATGCGCATGGCTTCTCCAAGCAACGTACTGTATGAAATTTACCCTTGCTAAAAGAGAGTTTTTTAACCGAAGACAGTGTGCTTTCCAACGATAATTGTTGGACAACGTGAGCCCGAGAACATGGAGCGTTTGCACATTTAGTACTGGTAAGTCGTTAATATGCACCAGAAGATTTCCTGCTTCGCACATTTGTTTTCGACAAATGTGCATTTTTTTTGATTTTTGTATAGAAATTTTAGCCCCTGATGAATATGCCCATGCGGAGATCTCACATGCAATAGATTCGAGGATGTTGATTGCTTTCGTGTTGTCTTTTTCTTTTGTAAAAATGTATACATCGTCCGCGTAGAGATAATGTTCTACTCTTGGTACACGGCAAAGAATTTTGCTAATTTCGTTGAAGGCGATCTGGAAAAGCGTGACAGAGAGAGGAGATCCTTGCGGAATGCCATTCTTTAGCGGAAAGGAATCAGAAAGATAATTGTTGATTCTAACTTTGAACCGCCGATGCGACATGAATGATTTGATATAATTGAAGAATTTGAGTCCGACATTCCATGATTTCAAGAGTCTTAAGATAACATGAAGACCAACTCTGTCAAATGCTTTTTCGAAATCAATTGAGAGAATTGTTACGTGATTTCGTTCGGAAACTGCTTTGCTCGTGAAAAAATCAATACGTAGAAGAGCGTCTATGCACCCTCTACTCCGCTTGAAACCAACTTGTTGCTTTGTAATCAGGTTTTTGGACTCAAGAAACCAAGATAATCTAGATGCCATAATCGTCTCTAATACCTTTGAGAGGCAAGATAAAAGAGAGATTGGGCGATAGTCCGATACGATGGAGACATTTTTAGACTTTGGGATTGGAACAACTGTAGTCAGTTTCCACATGTAGGGTATATGGCCAGTCAAAAATATCGTATTATATAGGTCCAGTAATTTCCTTTTACTTGAATTAGACAGCGCACTGATCATTTGGTAGGAGAAGCGGTCTAGACCAGGTGTCCACCCCTTCGATTTGGAGAGACAACTTTCAAGTTATAAGGTAGATATGTAATTTTCCAGGAAGGTGGCACATCTGTCAATACAATTTGAAAGAGAAACTGGAGTCCTTTTATTTTCGATGAAAGCACTGGAAAAGTTGCCGTCAGATGAGTATTCGCACCACATTTGTCCAAAGTAATTAAAAATCTCATCTGCATCAGTTAAAGTTCCATTGGGAGTGCAGATGGCAGAGATTTCGTTCAGATTTGAAGTTCCATTAAGTCTGTTGATTTTGTTCCAGACAACTTTCATTGATGTATTTCTGTGAATTCCTCTCGAAAAAAGTTCGAAACTAAGTGCCTTTGATTTTCGTAGTTCCTTCCCGAATAGATCATTGGCCTTTTCGTATAATAACAAATGATCCTGATCAGTACATCTCTTAAAGCGTTGCCGTAGATCCATTTTATTTTTCCTCAAAAATGAAAGTGTGTTGTTCCACCAAGGAACCCTAACTCGTTTAAAAGAGGTGTTGGATTGAGGAATAGAAACATGAGCAGCCGTGCGAATCGCTTTAGACATAATAGCGGCATCATGGTTGCAGTTCCCGTTAAATGACTTTGAACTCAAAAATGACTCCACCTGT